TGCGTTACTTTGTAACAGCATTTGTTTCTATAGTAACGAGTCTTATATAAAAGTTTACACCGTTGTAAATTTAAGAATATGGTCATTAGATGGTAATAAAGTTTATAAACCTATTTATGTAGAATTCTAACTGAAACTGTAATTTTGTTGCGAAATTAGCAGATTGTTGTGTTATACGAAAGTATTTTATATGTTAATTGCACCATTACTTGTGACTGTTTTGACATTTTCTTCAACGACGTTCATTTGCTTCCTTCTATTTGTAGTTAAATGAAGGTTTCTCTTCTCGTAGGCGTTTCCCATTACTCTAAATTATGATGTTGATGAGCGTCATTTTAAATGCAGTTGCCATAACGACAGATGTTCAGTTATTTTTAATTGAAGTATAATAGCTATGAAGAATTTCAAAGATAATTACTGATTAGGTATATTCTCTGCAAGTTGCGTAAAGCTTAATTAACACGAAACTAAATTTATGGAGAAGATAAATATTAAGAATTTGTGATTGCTGTTAATGCTCATGTAATGATTGATAACATAAAAATGATTTAATTTGATAAATAATTCGAATAATAATGGAAAATTATAAAGATATAATAAGCAAAATTAATTATAATAAGTACTGTATTAAGAGATTGATTGAGAAATCAATAGAAACGATTAACCTTTAAATTTTTTCTTGTAATTTAATTATTTTTAAGGACAAAGTAGTAAATGTGCATTTTTATTGGCAAAACATTTAAAATACTTTAAACTGTATCTGGAATTGAACTGAACTGACATAATTATTCATTAATATAAAAAAATGTTTACTTGGAGATGATTTTAATATGAAATTAGAGAAACAATTAACGAACAGGTGCAGTTAAAGAACTTATTAAATGTTTATTTTGATATATGCTAATAAATAAATAAGAGTATATAAAATGAAGAAATCTTGTAGCTAAAACAACAAACGTATCAGTGAGCCTGTTACAGGTGTGCTTCTTTATCCTGGTGTAGTATCACTTTTGTTTAAATCTTGTAGCTTGTAATATCATACGAATTCTCTGTATGAAAAGGTTATCTGTAAGATAAAAAGCTTAAAATTTGATCTTAATTTATTCTATAAATTAAGATAAACATTTACAGATGTATTGTTTATTGTCATGTTTCATCATCATCATCATCATCATCATCATCCTGTTTATGTATTAATTAGGCAAAGTAAAAAAAAAAATAGTTCAACATAAATTTAGTTCCTGGTTTTTTTTTGTCAATCAAATGAATATTGTAACAGGTTAATTATACATTTGATAATTACCACATTTAAGGTATTATATGTTGAGTTTTAAAATTGGATTTTCAAGAAGTATTGGATGGTGATTAGAAGTAAATTTAGTTTAAAGAGTAAAAATATAAATATAATAATGTGAAAGTATTGTAAAATTTTTATTACGTGTAGACTTTTCGAAAGTGACAAAAAATATCCTGAATTTAAGACACACCCAACATTAAATTCATGAAATGTGCAAAAAAAAATGAATCTTAAATTCAAATTAATATGGTATACATTGATGATAATGAGTGATAAAAAATTAATCATGTTAAACTAATGAATCCAACTTACTGATCTTAATTCATTGATAAATAAAATATATTTCAATATGTTTATTGACTTCATCTTGTAAATTGATCTATCTGTCATGTGATTAGCATATGATTTAATAAATCATTATTGATTTGAAGATTATATATCACATGAACTAACATCTTAAGTAATTTTAATAAGCAAATTGTGTTTTTTTTTAAAATATAGTAATATCAATACAATAGATTTTTGTTAGCATTGACTCTTTTGAGGACTGCCATTAACCAATAGTTTGACCTTAATGAGTGTTATGTAATATTGGATTCAAGGTTATATGTTGAATCATCGTACTCTTAGTCAGCAACTATGCTACTGCTATCTTAGCTTTTTAATATTTTAAAAACAAAATTACTTAAGAGAAAAGTATGTACAGTACATTCTGTAATATTCAAGTTGCCAGATAGAACTTTTTAAAACTCTCAAATCAATAAACAAATCTGAAAATATCCTAAAATTTTGAATACAGAATCAGCCAGATTTACTTATACTTTGTTGAAACTTTATGAAAGCAAAAATATGAATTCTGGAAAGTAAACGGGAAAGGTGTTGATGTTAATAGGACACTATGCGTGTATTTCATTCTAGAAAAAGGCTCATGTAACTGTTAACTTGGTTTCCTTACTCAGAGTTAAGTGTAAACTCAGTTTTCTGCCGAGGAGTAGAAAAGTTATGCTACTAACTGATAGTTGATGCTAACAAGAGTCCTTTGTGTAAAAATGATAAAAATTCCATTATTTTTGGATAGAATTAAGCTATTTAATTCTTTACAAAATTCAGATTCCAAAAAGAATTCGAATTTTGCAAAGAAACTAGGGGAATTAAAGATAATTGAAGAACTAGGGGAAGACGTCAAGATAATAAAGATACAACATAAATTATTCTCGCAGCTTAATGTTTTTGACAACTGATGAAGACTTATCAAATTAATTTATCAATCTCATTTTTAGTTGTTTTGATTATAAAAAAAAAAAAAAAGAATTGGACTGTTGTATGTGTGTTATATGTTTATATCTAATTAATAAAATCTTTCAAGTGACAGGTCAGAACGTATTTTTCAAAAATAGTTCATCTAATTCCACTCTCAAGATTAAGGAAAGATGGATGGATGGACAGACCTCAAAGTCCAGGAATCAACTTATCTCAAAGTAAATGCAAGCAGAAAGTAATAAGCAAAATGGCAGAAATGTGATTACATGCTCTCTCATCCAATCAATGCAACCAACTGGTGTTGAAATCAATGCTAAAGGGTCATGTGCAGATATCTGATGCTTCTAATGATTGCCATGCATTCACAAACTTGATGTTTGGGAATACCCTAGTCTCAGCTAAGTATTGATTGTATTGTTAAAGTGAATTAGATACTCAATGTCAAGTTGACAATGATAAATGTATCCTTCTGTGGATGAATGATTTTTAAACTGCATTCTGAAATACGCTCACTCTGATAATATGAATTTATATAAATTTATGCCAACTTCTAATTCTTTTCCTGAATTTTATATGATCTTTCAAAACTGAAATTGATAATTAAATGAAATTTCAACCTATAGAAATGTTTCTATTAACTTAATAGCCAGACTTGTAATTTTACATGCTTATTAAACATGCATTTAATTAATAGATTAAATTAAACCTCCTTCGGTATTTTTTTTAATATTAAATTTTATCAAAAGAAATTTAATTTACTATTATTGGTAAAATTATATTTAATATTTCTTGTATTGATAAAAATAAGTTGGGGAAAGAATCGACTCGAGAACAATGTTATGAGTGATGTTGCTTCACTTAAACCAGTCAGCACATTCTCTAATGATGTCGGCATTTTTTGCTTAATATGTCAGGTAGTATATGTGAATTTTATTTTATTTTCTTTCGCTAGATGGCAGAACAGCTTTTTTGTTAATTGTGCTAATTTTTTTATAGAATGCATTAACTGTAACGAATCATGCATTTAACAACTATTATAGTAAACTTCCTTGTATTCCAATACCAGAATGTGAAAGCTTCCATAACACTGTTTATAATGGTGGTGATGTGTCTAACAAATGAGGAAAAAATCGGAAGTAATTTGCCACAAATGAGGAAGAAATCGGAAGTAATTTGCCACAAATGAGGAAGAAATCAGAAGTAATTTGCCACAACTAAGTGATCATTGTTTCATGCTCATTGGTTACTACTCAAGTTGATTCCATCTGTAGACAGACTGTAAATAAGAATTAACTATAAAATCATCTTTTCCTTTATTACCAGAGCTTTATCTGTTTACATGAGATAGAGCAAGAATAAAAAAAGTAAATTTTGTTGAATGTAAACTAAGTCTTGCTAATAAAGGCAAAATTTTTTTTATAGTCTATTTAATTCTTCTAATTTTACAGATTTATATGTTTTTAATGTTATATTGTTTAGTTTTAAAAATAATGTGTAGGTGGAAAGTTTGATTTTATTATTAAACTTGGACAATAAACGGCAAGGAAACTTTTAAAGATAAAGTAAATCGTTTGTTGCAAATAGAATGTTCTTTGATCAGAATTATGTTTTTAAATATATTTATATTTGAATTTATGCATAAAAGAACAATAACTCTATTTGATCATTTACTTAGACTAAATATATATTTAATTAGGACTAAATAGTAAATTTTTGGTTGAAATATCAATACTTTGCAAAGAAAAATACAGGATCTTCAAAAAAATGTTACTATTTTAAATTATTATAATGTTAATTATTATTTGAGAAGTATGTGATTTACACCAATTGATAGAGTAACCATCAGAGTTTCATTTCCCATCTTCATTCAAACGTCTTGTCGTCTACTACCTGTGCCGAAAACAAAAATGGCAACTCTGCAGTAATGTGTTTTGTGTTCTGCAGTTTGCAAAGTTGGAATCACTTATCATTATGCAACATGAGTAATCTGCAGGAGCTGTAGAATTGTGGCTGCTGTGGAAGGAGTGACAATGGATATGCTGTACGGATTGTAGGAAGAATTTGAGTGTGCCTTGCAACACAAGGTGCACATATTGAGAAATTGTAACAGACAAATGTGAAGTTTTCCAATGTTTTAACTTACATTACAATGTTCGTAGATAATAATTAACATAATTTTAATAATTTAAAATGATAGCAGTTTTTTTGGAAGACCTTGTATTAACAATGATTATAATAAAGTGAAGTTTTTTAATGATATTCTGAATGTTCTCCTGAAAAGACTGATTTGTAGAAATGTACTGTAGTACATTCATCATTAAAATAAGTCAGAATAGAATTTATAGTAAAATTTTGTTTTATATTAACAAAGTAATAAAAAATTATAAAAACATAATTATAGATTAATTATTTTTAAATTCTAATTTATTAAAAACTTTTTCAGTGACTAATACATTGTTGGACGCTAATGATAAATTGATACTTCAGTGCGAGATAACAGACGATCATTTTTCAAATAATGGAAAAATTAACAATGATGAAAAATGCTACAGGTAAGTCTGTATAATGAATTATTAGTATTTAATTAATAAGTATAAACATTATTATAATTTAGTTTAGTAAAGTCAGAGTTATTTTTGGGCTTGTATATTATCTTTAGATGAATGAAGGAGGATCAATAAGTTGTCATTCTTCACTGGCAACACTTGATAATAGCATAAATTCCACATTTTAATAAAGAATAGATTTGAAGGTGCCACTGCAAAATGCCAAAATGCAAATATCACTAACTTGAAAGTAGCCACTGAATAGTCAATATTTTTTAAAATTAAAATTTAACTACAAATATAGAAATAGTCACTATTGATATGTAGTTAATACGTACAGGAAATCCTTTTTAGTTCGAAATTTAAGGAACGAAGTAATAGTGTCTTTGAATTATAAAGTTTCGAATTATCTGAGATTCACATACTTCTGTACAATATGCAAAATGCCACGTAACTGGTGTGATTTATTAAGCAAACAGAATATGGCTAAATATACAGAATGTTACTTTTGTTAATAATAATGTAAACTACAAATAAATAGCACATGTCCGGTAAGAACTTCACAGGTTGCTAGATAAATTTCATAAAAAGTAAAGCAGAATTCCTCTAAATGTAACCCATATTGTTTTTAAAGTAACCAAAAAAGTAGTAATTCTCCAAAATCTAGTAGCCTAGAGCCCTACAAATATTTACAATCTGTTCTTGTAGCTTGCTCTTGCAATCACGAAATCCAGCTGTATTTTATGAGATAAAGGAAAGAAGGGTAGTTTACGGGTAAGGTGACATCTGAAAATATGTTATTGTAAAAGCAAAACCATGTTGACCAGATTAGAATTGTTCTTGATCTTGAGTATGGAGGCATTTCAATCTAAATGAATGAATTAATGTAAGCAATGAATGAGTTAACGTAAGCATATCACAGTTTGGACGGGATTTTTATTTCAAGTTTTACAGTACCCGTATTTCGAACTAACCAAATTCCTAACATGTAAATTTTTATATTCCTGGCGGGACAAATAGAACATTTATGAACTAATTGCATTTTGAATTATCCAATTTCAAATTAACAAGGATTTCCTGTATATGAATTTGTCCGTATTTACAAAAACCTTTACAAAAAAAGACGAGCATCATTTATTTTATGCGAATTATAAGCTAGGGTCATCCTGGAGTAGGATGAAAATGTTTATTATTTAATTAAAGATTTGGCTTCTTGAAGTAAGCACTTTTAATACTGATAATAATATAGTGCCGGAGATACAAGGAGAATAGTTGACACTATAAAATATATCTGTTTTTACATAGTTTTTTTGAGTCATTAAATGTTGATCATAAAGAGATAATCCTTATAGGGCAAATATTGAATTGATATTAATGGTTTTTGTCTATAATATTTCTTTTGGAATATAAATTTTCATAATAACATAACTAAAGAAAATTTAAGTGCACAAAAACTTTTTAAAGTTGCAAAATGTAATGTTAATCAAAGACTGCTACCTTTTTAGATCATTTTTAATGACCTTCAAATTCAAAGTATTAAATAAAAATGTAGATACATAACCAAATGATTGCCTTAAATAATCAGGCTATAAATTTGCTATTTGATGATTAAATACTAAGTAATTTGTTACTAGTGTTATATTTATAGTTTGATTATTTAAGGCAATCGTTTGGTTATATATATAGGGCTTTGGGATGTTTGTTTGATATACTTAAATAAAAATGGAATATCACTGGTAAAATTTGGAAAAATTTAATAACTAAATTCAAAATAAATAAGAAGTTAGTTAGGAAATATTAGAAGTAAATATTGTATAACTATATATTAATTTATCATCTGTTAATTTCAGTTAATATATGATTGACATTAAAGTTTTGAAATTATTTATTTTTTTTAGTGAAGAATGGGATCAGTTACTGGAAGCAAACTGTATTGGAAAATTGCGGACAATGGGACTTAAAGGACAGCTTAGACAAAGCCATTTTCGTAGCATATGTTGGCGGGTAAATAGCTTTAATGTGAATATTTTAACAGTTAAATTTGAAAAATTTTGTTGTTTAATATTAAAAAAAGTATGTATATATTATTATAAAAATTATAATTAATTCTATTTATTAATATTCTTATTATGTATATATATGAATTTGTTGTCTTATGTGTCTTTTAGTATTTTAATTTATTAAAATGTTCAAATATAGATTTAAATCACATCACTTGATATTTGCAAACTCCTCAAAAACTGAAACTGTTTACAATAAATAACAAATGCTTTTATACCTCTTCAAAAACAGTTTTATAACCTGTTGAGGGCCACTAAATTGGCTTAAAATGTTATTTTTCTCTAATAAGAATTGTGTGCTGGAAGAAATACAAAAGATGTTTGTTTTTCATTACTTGATATTGTTTTTGTCAGTCAAAATATAGCCTAAGATAATCCATCAATTTATTGATTTGATTATAACAGATGCATTTGTTTTTTTAGGATAGTGTTTTTATATTGTTTGATAATTTGACATAATTTTATTCTCATTACAAAACAGGAATGACCTCAAACTGACATAAAAATTCCACTGTTTTGACAAAATGAATCTAATACTACATCTAATGTAAATACAATATAGATTAACTATAAAAACATATTCTAGGATTTGAAATTAGAATATTTTAAGATGAAACTTTTGTCCCTAAAATGGCTAAAAAAACACCCTGATTCTTGTACAGAAGATTGTAATCTTCTGTAGACTAATGAATTCTCAAAATAGCTTTCATAGACTATAGTTAAATACACTAAATACAGGGTTTCTCAAATTAAACTTGACATTTTTCAGCTGGCTACAGAAAAAGCTATTCATCAGAAAGTCATGAAAGTTTGGGAATGCATTAATGAGATGAAAATTTTTTATACAGCAAAAAGTTAGTTCAAAAATCATTAACATAGGGTGCTTTTCAAACTGAAATAGTGATATATTAACCTGCAGGATCCCCAGACTTGAATCATGCAATTTTTGGCCCACAGTCAAAAATTGCATGGATATAGTCAAAAACATGCATTCAAATTCTTTCAGGCATACTAATAAATTTGGAATGCTGTTCAGAGGTGATGGTATAACATATAATTATGCCAAATTATATATATTGTATATATTATTTGAACTATGATTATATGTCATAGCAAAAATGCATTATCGTATAACTTAGATGCCGAGAGATGTTATAAACAGGGCTATTATGTATATTTTATAGACATTTATAAAAATTTTAAGTTATGAATAATTTAGTCTTGTTAAACTCCAACAAAATTTATATTCAAAATAATATATAATTATAAAAATGAATCATTTAATTATATACTTATTTAATGAAATTTAATTTAAGTTTAACAAATTTTATTACAGATATTTTTAGAATGTCTCCCCGAGAAGCATTCCGAATGGATTAAATCAACAAATATTTTACGTCAGAAATATCAAGACATTCAAAATAAGGTATATTTTCACATCCGAACGAATATTGCAACATTAGCGTGCAGAAAATATTTATGCATTTATATATTTATATACTTTACAGTTTTATTAAGAAAAATAATTCATTTTATATTAATTCATTTAGTTATATAACAATCCAAGATCAGAGAAAGATAGCCTTGATTTAGTAATTAATAATCCACTTTCACAAGAGGACAAAGTGAGTTTATATTGAATGGTTATTATAAAGCTGTAATGGATAAGTAATTAATGAAAATTTGATGACTGATATATTTTGTAGAGTCCCTGGAATCAATATTTTCAAGACAGTGAACTTAAAATAACAATACAACAAGATGTAATTAGAACGTAAGTTATTTTCATTGAAGTTTTTTTATACATTAACAGAATTAACTCTTATAGATAAATTATTTATAACTTAAGGTAAATAATTTAGTTACCTTAATTTATAAATTCATTAGTTCTTTACATTAATACATCAATGTAAAGAACTAATATATACACTTAATACATTGGTATATTAATGCATATTTCATATTAATTTTTTTTACAAATGACAAAATTTAACACATACCAATATTTTTACAAATCACAAACAAAAAATTCCAAAGTATAAAGTATGTATGTGTCATATTAATTAATTTGAGTATGAATTCAAATGTTTCAATTTATTTACAAGAAATTTATTGAAGTTTTGTAATACGCACTGTTAAATATTGCACCATAAGAACTAAAATTTGACATTTTGAAGATGGAATCAATATAGGAAATATTTTTTAAACATGAAATTTACTTGTGTATATACTTAATATAAGTGTTATTTTTTTTTCTATTTTCAGACATCTGAAGTGTCTGTGATATTTTTATTTATATAAAGTGTACCATATTTTAATTACTAGTTAAAATTAATGAGTATCAAATTTTAGATGAAGGAATAAAGGAATCAGTTCATGTTTAAATATCAGGTAGAATCAATTAAAGACCTTGAACTTGTTCTTTTCAGAGTTTTATAAATTCTAAATTTAACCTGAACAGACTGCATTTGTCAAGTAATTTCTTGGTAATTAGTGTTAAGTGGTTAATTACTTAAAGAATAATTTTAAAATTTGTAATATTGAATTGGAAGTTTTCAAATATAACAAATGCCATGATATCAAATACCAGTATTATTAATTTTTCAAGAAGAAATTATCTAAACATGCTAATTGTGAGATTCTAGCCGGGGGTACCTTTCTACTAGGATTGTTAGTACCACTTAATCAGCGGCTAGTTGGTGAAACTAGATCTCGGTCGTCTACAAGAATGGCTTTCCTAATTTGAGGAAATCGAGGGCGGAGGGACTTACAGTTAGAATAAATTTTAATCGGAATTTGGTGATGGCGAATTCACCTTCTTCCTCGTCAGGTTTCCGACACCAGTTAATCATATTTAGATATGCGGATTAACACGCGTTTGGAGATAATACGGATTTGATTCAGATAACAAATAAGAGACATTTCTTTAACAAATAATAAAAGATTTAATAAAATAAAAGTAAATAAAATTACACAAATGGAATTATTCAAAAATAAAATTAAGTGAATGAGAGACAATGGATTAATTAAATATATACTTCGAGAGAGAGAGCTCACAATTCATTTATAATCACACTACCTCAAAGTTTACTTTGTCTTTATGTTTATCTGTATTCGATGATCCTACTTTGTTGCATGGAGAGGTCTTGATTTGGCACAATAATAAAAGTTTCTTCTTTTCTCCTAAATTAACTCATTATTATACTCGATTGGATATGACTAAGGACTTTGTGGAGCAAATATGGACTACGTCGGTCTTCTCTGAGATCCTTTTCATACTCCTAACTAAGGGCGTTGGCCTTAGGGAGCAAATATGGGATACCTCCTTTCCCTTTGAGATCTTTCGACGTACTCCTCGAATCATGCAGATCTTTGACTATATCTCATGATTTATGACCAATCAGCTTATTTGTCTTCACTCACATGAACGGATGAAAAGGGGAATTATTGAGGGGTCGACAATTCCCAGTGTGGTGAGATTTGTGATAGATAAGTGGAAAACAAAAGGATATGTCTACTTCCGTTAAAGGAAGTGGCTCTTTTATCAGTTTTCCCACGTTAGAAAAACGATATTTTCACACCAAAATGAAATAATATTTTACTTTATAATTTTAACGTTATATTTAAATTGTTAATTAGACCCAGGGACTATTCAGATCTCACACTAATATTATAAATTGAATTACATACAATTAATTAATTAATTAGTTAAATGTTAAACTCAGAAAATTTCTTAGGTAAAATCTATAAAAAAAGTTATATAAGGAATAAAGAATTATAATAAGTTTTAAATTAATTAATAATTTTGATTTGTAATGCATTAAGTAAACTAATGTATTTGAATAATTATTTAGAATAGTAAAAATTAAATTTTTTGCAATTAAATATTTCTCAATATTGTATTTATTTAATGCAAACTTTTCACATTTTGTGTTGTTTTCATTGAAAAGATTTTTCCATAAATTAAATGTGATTCAGTTTTACTTAGATCTCATTAAATCTTATAATATTTTATCTATTTTTTTAAAATTTTAATATTAATTGGATTACAATTACATGAATAAGTGAATAAAAGTGAATTACAGTACATGTAGATGATAAGTATTTAAGAAAATGATAAACATACTTAAAAAATTTGTATGCAAATAAATTTTCAGAACTTAGTTGAAATAACTTAAATCAAAGAAAAGTGAACGAAATCTGTATCACCATATTGATTATTGATACAAACATGATATTGATTATTGATACAAACATGATTCAAGCATTCTTTTAAGCATATGATTTACGAAGTAATAAATGCAGTAAATACTGGATAATAATCAAAACATTTACATAACAAAAAATCCATATGATTTATGAGATAACATAAAAGGCACATGAAATGAATATCTGTATGACTTATTCTTTTTCAAATAATAATCTATTAATTAATTTGTGGTGAATGATTGAATGCTTGGCATTATTAATAACCAGACTGATAATCTTATTTTATTCAAACTATATATTTATTAAATTAAAATGTCTTGTGTTTTCCATTTTTTAGGTATTTTCTAAAATGTTTTTAACTTATTTAATAGATTTCCTGAAATTGATTTTTTTCACACATCTAAAGTTCAACAAATGATGGTGAATATTTTATTCTGTTTTGCTAGAGAATATCCACATATTTCTTACAGACAGGTAAGTAAATGAAAATTTTCATGATGTTAAAATTTGCTTTTGATTTAAAAAGTAATAATTTGAAATGTTTTTCTGAAATAATTTTAGGGAATGCATGAATTACTTGCACCAATAATATATGTCCTTCATTCGGATCAAGAGGCATTTTTTTCTGCTAGTAAGACTGCATCTATAAAATTAATGTAAGTTACTTTATTTAATTTAATTTAATTAACATATTTATAATTTTTACATTTTTTTTTCTTTTTCAGGGAAGAAATTAAAGTTTTATTGGATCCATCTTATACAGAACATGATGCATTGTAAGTTAGCTATATACAAATGATAAAAGTTTAAAAAATATTTGATGGGGTCAGAAATTATGTTAATTTAAAAATATATAAAATACAAGAAAAATTCTCAGCATCTTCTGACTTCAGAGGTGAATAAACATTCAATAGGCTGAGAGCTTTTTCTGGTACTTTATATATTTTTAAATTAACTATATACAGTTATTCTGTACTCCTGAATAAATAATGATTAATCATCAGTTTTGTTTTTGTGTTTCTATATTTTCATTTTTTGTAGGTGTATCATACATGCTATACACACACAGGCATACATCTATCTCATTATATACATGTATGTATATGAAATATATTATACACTTCTCATCAAAAGATTGCAGAACTAAGAGAAAATTGTCTAAAATTATATAGATTTTTTTTTTTTTGTATTTATATATACATAAATGGTTAAAATTAGGTTAAATTTGATTATTATTATTCTCCTGTAGGTGAGGTTGATAGTGCTTTGCATCAAATGGTCTTATTCACATAGTTGTTTTCTGCAGTAAAATTTTTAGACAATAATATTTAAAAAATGTGAGAATTAGAACATGAAAACATTTTATGCATTTAGGAAAGTTTAGTAAAAATTAAATCATTGTTATATACTGTGCAGACTGATTCTTTTCAACAGAGCATTTGTGAGCTTGTTGACTGTAGGGGCGATCATAAATTTCGTGTCAGGATTAATGAGAATGTTATGGGTATGTGGTTGGTGGTGGTGGAGGCACAAATATGAGGTACCTTTACAAAAGAAACTCGTTTATTGGAGCTTAAAGATTGCTTACATAAGAGACATGATATATTCGTTCCTTAGCTGGTACTAATTATCCCAAAAAGTTTTTTTTAATCTGTGTTCATCTTCCTGTGGAGACACGGTTTGTTGACAGCCCCAGGGCAATGACGAGATGGTGTTTGTTGGCTGGAGATTCCTGGCAAAACTCCGTAGGATGAAGGAGTAAAATGTTGGAGAGCTAGAGTAATAATGATTTCTCTCTTGTTGTAGGGCAACACAGGTTAGTCTGATGACACAATTGTAAGAAAACTGCATTTTGACAATTCTGCACTGAGCATGCTTTCTCTGTGTGTGTGTTTGCCCTTGAAGTCCGGGGATTATATCAATCTCTTGTCTGCGATTGCCCATTCCAATTGGTTGCTTTTCCTCGTCCTTGCTCTCCAAGTGATCGAACACTCATTACTATATGTAATGGGATCCCAACTTATATTGCAGGAGGTCAGAATCAAAGTTTAATTTGATCTCCCAATCAGAGATGGTTGATCTTAGAAATTACCTTCCTAACTTTGTTTATGACCTCATGTCGCATTTTCATACAAAAAGAATGTGTCTAGCTACAAATATTTTTTTATTTTGTTCTTTACAACAAATAATTTTAATGCAAACTTTTGTGACAGTTCTGACCTGACCTGTTATGAAAATCAGTTTTTAATTCCTTGCAGATGTAATTTTGCGAGTTTTTGAATCAGTTCTGCTTTCATATTCACCACTGATATTCCATCTTTGACAAGCTGTTGAAACAAAAGCATTTCAATCAATTAGAATAGTGATATTTTTGGCTATCACTCTTGCACATGTATATCAATGAGAACAACTACTGTAGAATGAATTAAAGATGGTACAAATAATGCCAATGGTAGACCAATATGAATTTAATCTCTGTTGAGTGGATGCTTGCATAAAGGAGATGTATACTTGAAGGGTCTTTTCTTTGACTGTCAGAAAGCTCCATGACTAGAAACAAAAGAATGAATAATACTCTATAGCATTTAGGGATAAATTCAAATTTATTTTAGTCAGCAATGATTGAATAACAAGAGTCCTGGTATCTTTCAAGAGAGAGCAAATCCTTTAGGTATTGTACAGTGGCATTCAAGAGCAATTCAGCATAGTTCTAATTATTATCCATAGTGTACTGAATACTGTAAAAATGTTAATTAGATTCTTATATCACATGCTCTCCCTTTCTTTTTGTTGCGTTATTTTCGCATGTTAATATTTTTGTATTTACAATTTAATTTAAGCCTTTAACAACATAACAACTTTATTGTTAATTACGAAAGGTCTCACGAGCTCTCATGGATGACAAGCACACCTCATGGCCCAATGCTACAAAGGTGCTCACTCATCAGAGATGTATCTGCCACCCTCCCATAGCCAAATTCTAGCCACAAATTATAGACACTTTTAACTGCATTCAGAACAATATTTCAGCAAGATAATGCTGGTCCACACATTGCTCTCGTAACTTTACAGTGTCTTTACGGTATAAAAATCCTTCTTATGGCCATCTTTTCTAATCTTAGTTAATGTGTCTTAATTTGTAATATGATATAATTATCTATATCTATATTCAAGGGCTTCAAAAATTGTATTTTCAATTCATTGAATTAAAATGTAGTAGTAGTAATGTTGATGACATGATTGATTAAATGCAATTGCATAATTATTCATTTTTTACCTCTCACTGGAATCTTTATAGAGTATAATATTTTAGATTTTAAAGTCACTTGACATTAATATATATCTGCAAGATACAAAAATTTTAAGCACTTGCAAACATAGAAAATTATGATATCAGCAACTGAAATAATCTTTATTTCTGTATAGTTAAGCTCATGTATCATGTTTTCTTATTTTGTAGATGATTCTAGTATTAACTAGTGAAGAAGAATCTTTCTCTTAGCATAATAATAATATATTAAATGAAACAAAAACAAAAAAATATCCTTATTAATGAATTATATAAAACATAAATGCAGTTCAATATTGAAACAATGTACAGAAGAGCTTTTACCAAACTCCAGATTATGTTTCAATGTCATTCTATTATGCTATTTTATTTTTCATTTCCAAACTTACAATTCCTATTACTACTTTCTCTCTTGATAATTATTTAAATATCCCATGTGAATATATCAAAATTTGTTTATTTTTATTTTAGTTTTATATTTTGTCAAGTAATGGATGTAGTAGAATCATGGTATTTGATCAATGAATATTCTAGTAATAAAGTAAGTGTTACTGATTTTGTTTTTTCTTGATATAAATCAGGCACATAATAAAATTGGTTTTGTGTATGTTTCAGTATACAGATCAGTTTGTTCTTGCACCCTTTTCTCGACCAAGAGAAACGGGTCCGACAAGTATCCTAGGTGTTAAATTAACCAAGATTAATGAACAGATATTGAGACGCCATGACCTGGAATTATTTTCACATTTAGAAACTCTGGAAATAACTCCTCAAATTTATGGCATGTAAGTTTATATTATTTTTTATTTGACTATTGAATTGTCATTAGGTTAACTTGTTTTCGATGATTTAATATATTAAAAAAAAAAAAAAATTATTTACATGCAATGTACGTAATTTTATCTGTAATACGATATATTTATATTTATGATGAAATATTTTACAAATTTCACTTAGTATAGTTTGCTTGTCTCTATTTAACAAAGACCCATATTAAAGAAGTGAGGAATGAGTTTATATTATTATTAAATTATTTTAATATAAATAAAGACGAGTGATGAAAATATAATAAATCTTAGGTGCATTATTGAAAATGAAATATTGAATTACATTATTTAAAAAGTGATTTTTGAAATTCATTTTGAATATACTTACGTCCATACTTACAAAATATTTAAATAATAAGCTCATTAACTTAACGTAGGTTAGATTTTTTTCTTTGGGACGTGTTGCTGTTTTCTCTTAGATTTCAACTTTGAACATGAATTTTTTAGAAATAATCGTTAAATAATAATGAACATAAAGAATAAACATGTTCTTTTTAGACGATGGCTTCGTCTGTTGTTTGGACGAGAATTTCCCATGCAGGATCTCCTACAAATCTGGGATTCCATATTTGCCGACAGTTTGTCGTTTGACTTAGTAGATTATGTTTTTACAACTATGTTAATGAGTATAAGAGAATTATGTAAGTAAATATGATAAATTTGAATAAAGTATTAAAGTATTACAATTAATACCAGATTATATTTTTATTTTCAGTGTTAACAGGAGATTACACTACCTGTTTGAAACATTTGATGAAGTATCCATCTATATCAGATGTCAATTATGTCATTGAATTAGCACTTCATCTGAGAGATCCTGTGGTAAATAAGAAAGATATATCTAGCAACATAATTAGTATAATTTGCAATTTTTGAAAGTTGAATGTATGAAATGCTGTATAGCTGTAGTGCAAGCTATAAGTTGTTTTAATGTAGAATGTGCCTTCTTGAAAACACGTGATTGATGTTAATATTTTTGATTTTTCTGTTTTTAATTTAATTTTTTACTATGTACAGTACATGTAATGGATTTCAGCATCATATCAGTTTTTTAAAATAGAAATTTTGACAAAGTTTACATGTAAATAAGCAGATTTATTTATATATTTAATTCAGGAGCAAAAAACTTTAATAAATGTTTTTGGTCAATTATATGGCCATCTTCAGCATATTGAACAGAATAGAATGGTGTGAAACATAATTAATTTCCTTGTTTTAGAAATATAAATCTATTAATTTTGAACTTATATAACTTTGATTGTTGTATATTTTAAAATATACTTAATTTTATGTTTAGTTACAGAAAGCTGAAAATACTGTTTGGATTTGATAATGAATAGATATGCATGTTTAAAATGGGAATATGCCTGTATATTAAACAATATTCCTGAATTAATTGAGTAAATCAGTTATATCAATGATACATTTTTAATCATAAACATGATAATGTTGTATAGAATTAAATCAAATTATTCAATATCAAAAATATAGAAATGTGTAGATTATAAAAGCATTTTTGTTTTAAATAGCAAAACTTCATCAGTTTTAGAAGGGTAAAATGCTTTTATAATAATTTTAATTTTATTTGTTGATTTAGTGAACGTCTCTTCAATCCGAAAAAAATCTTTCCGGTATTGGCTGTGAGGTAGTCCACCGGAAAGATTTTTTCGGATTGAAGAGACGTTCACTAAATCAACATGTAAAACAGCTAAACCATCGGAAAATTTTATTTTATTGTTTTCACATATTTAATATTTTCAATGCTGTGTTGTTATAAACAGTTTGAAGCTGGAGTTTTAATTTAGTAACTCTGTTATTTTCAACTTTTGATTGCTTTTATTTGATTAGAAATATTCTCGACCTGTTGGAAATTCATTAAAAGTTACAACTGCACTTTCTGGAAATCGCAACAGTTTACACAATACACTTCCAAAAAGTTACAGGTATTACTGTATTACTGTATTACAATTTAAATATCTATTGTTGTCTTTTCAGTTAGATTTGTCATAAAGGAAGTTTCTTTATTCTAGTTCCAAAAATTCCAACAAACATGGTGGAAGTTCCTTCTCTTCCATCATTCGTCGAAGTGGTGGAAGACCAAAAACCCTGGCACTACCAATAGGTACAGAGAAAGCCATTCAAGGAAAGTCTTCTAGTGAGCCTGCCACATTAGAATCAACTTCACCTAGTTCTGATAGCGGTAACATTAATTATTTTACATTTATAATTAGTGATTTTAATTTATCCGTTAATAGTATCTTTGATTAAATTTTCAGAAGTTTCGGGTGTTTCAACTGTCGACAAAAATAGAGAAAAATATCAAAAACATTTTAGACAGACCAGTGATAGCATAATGCATTCCTCACGTCATTCTGGAAGCAACACTTCCTACACTCTTCCTAGGAAATACAAAATAGGAAAGGAGCAACCTAATTTAAGTCAGAGTTTGACTCACTTGGATAAAGACAAAAATTATAATTCAGAAAATTCCACGAAAGAGATGGTGACATTATCGACTCAACATTCCAATCATTACGGCATGTATAGGCAAAGCAGTAAAGTAAGTTTTCAATGTTTTATTTTGACGACAAATAGAAATTCAAAAGGTTGACATATTAAATATTTATTACATATTGGTAAATTCTATTTTAGGAAAGAGACGAAATGAAGCAACTGAAAATGGAACTGTCTGAACTGAAATCCATGAGCCAGTATTGTTGTCATAGAATGACCCAACATTTAGATAGACTTCAGTTCTGTATGATCCATCAAGAGCTTCAACACGAAGATGAGATGTTGCTAGCTCTAGCAGGATTAAAACGGGTACGTTAGCTTCGTTTCTTACAAATTATTCTAAATAGTTAGTCGGCGGCAGTGATCAATGTGTAATAATTGCAAATTTCAGGTTAGAGATATCTTGAAGGGTACGGTGAATTTTACAGAAGAAGTAGGCGACGACGAATATCTGCACGACACAAATCCAGATAAACTAAAATCAAGTCAGATTGGAATGGTGAAGAAAAGTGATGTCGAAGGTTCTACTCTTCCTCAAGTAAATAAAGAAGGCAACAAGCAAAATGGAGAAAAAAAATGTGACGATCAAGACAGATCGGTGAACGGAGAAGATCGGCGGAACGAGAAAGAAGACCTGATCGCAACAACCAGAAGAGAATTTCAGAAACTCTTGAACTCTTCGAAATCATACATTAATGATAACACAAACAGGAAGTAGTAGTATAGATATTTATTATTATTAAGGAAATATTATTGTACAAAGGGCTAACAAGTTTTAAGGGCAACTTAGCAACAAGTTATTGTATAAAATGTGTAGAATTACACCTTGTAAACATTCCATTTATTTAATTTGTAAATTATTTTGAATTTTTGTATATATATATACATACATATAGGCAAATATATATACATTCAAATCTTACATAATTGAAAAAATTGATGATAGTGTAAATAATTTTTTTCCCTCACAAAAGACAGATCATAACTTTTTCAACAAAATGTTGCTATATTTAAATAGGAAAAAAAGGAGGATTATTAAAAATATTCTGTAATTGGTACACCCCTAAATAGTGAAAACATTAAAGTAATTTAAGTATTTGATGCTATCATATTTTAAAAATATTTTGACATTGAAGTCATCTCGAATTTTGTTTTGATTGAAAAATAAACTTTATAATAAAAGAAAATAATCAATAGTTTATTCAGTTGGCATTAATTAGGCATACATCAGCATTGACTTTCACATGAACACTGGAGTTATCACTGCCTCAACAGTAATGGTGCCTCTGAAAAGGGGTGTCACAAGTGTAAACAAGTTCGGCAAATGAACGTGTTTACAATAAATGAGTGGTACAATTAAAGTTGTATGTTCAATTTCCATTTGGTAATTTCCAGCTATTGGAATTGGTTAACTTCTAACTTTAATTCTTAGATTTAATTGTTCTTCTCTTTTTCCTTAAAATAGAGCAATTTGCTGATCTGAAAGTTTCATCTTAGATTTAATTTGTAAATGTTAACAACTTTTTCTCACCATCTTTTGGTTCTGGAATGACAATTGGCATTTATCTGATAGATGTAGAAATTCCATTTTTTTTAATACAATTGTATCTAAACGATTAAGTCTTTCTCTAGCAGAAAACCGAGCCCACTAGAAATTTTCATCCTTTAGAATATTGATAAATCTACATTTTTCACTGTCTACATCCATTTAATTTTTCAAATGGATACTTGCCTCTTGTGAACATTTTTAAGGATGTAAGATTGAAGAATCTGCTATGTCATTTTGGCTTAATTTTTTATTACAGTGAAAGGGATTATAAAAACAAATATTTAATCATTCGTATTTCAGACAATAAAAATGCTTATTGAAATACAACATGTACAGAGCATTTCAGAAGATCTTAAAATAACCCTCTTAGTGCCCACAGTGTGGAAACAGTTAAAAAAAAACATCTCAAACCAATCAAGGCAGCAAGGCCCACCGACTCCCAATTCATATTTACATTGCTTGCGCCTGACTAAGCTTTCCATCAAATCGTCTGCAATACGTGAAATTTCTTTGTGATTGGATTCAACATTTAACGAGGATAAAAATAAATTACACATAAACCTTTATTAGGCCTATGTGAGTTAGGTTACGATATCAAAATTTTAGAAATTAATTTGTACCACAAGTACAGTCCTATCCAAGAAGCATAATCGTCCAAACCATATGATACCAGGAAACACTACGGATCCTAATTTTTCTTAGCCATCCCCTCGTTAACAGTTTAAAATATTTCACTATTTTATAGCACGTTTGCTGGTACATAAATCACAAGAATTATTCTTATGAAATGAAGTAGTACACAAAAGCACTTGCTGTGTGGCATTGTTCGGATTCACGCAAAATGACAAAATACTATTTCGCAGTATAAATATTAATGTGCATTATCATGTTAACACGAAGTTTGGCCTATTCTTATCACATTCTGTTTTCGTATAATTTAATTAATTTGTTTTGCACTTCACTTTTATAACGAAATCCTTCTGAGTTTAACGACGATTTATTTTTCAGCATTAAATCCACAAAGAAGTCGGACATTTTCAGAAATCTATGGGTGTAATTTTTAACTGCTGAATTATCCTACACAGATGTCCTGTTTTCAGGTCTTATCTGTTAAATGCTAACAAAGAAACTTACGACATCCATTTTTATGGCCTTTGGGGAGATTTTACACATCTCTGACTACCAATATCCTTAGGCATCATTTCTTGAAAAGTAATTAAAAGTAATATTCGGATACTATCGATTATGCGATTTGCAATCGGTTGCTAACCTATGTAAAATGGGTGTCAAATAGAAGGATTAGAAGTAGGAAATAATCGAATAATCTTTACTTTTGTTGTTGTTACTTTTTACCTGGGCCGGGCTCATCTGCAAGTTCTTTATGCAGTAGAGCGTCGTTTATCTAAATCAATTGGGGGACTGGGGTTGTTCGGATAACCGATTACGTACGAAAAAATGTATTAATTTATCCCATGTTGAAATTTTTCTCCGTTGCGTGTCGCTTCGCGTTGAATTTTCATCGATGTTAAGCCTAATGTAAACTTTTTAAAATAATAATCGTGGCTATTGTATCGTTAAAAATTATTTCTTTATTTTTTACAAANTCTTGGTAATTAGTGTTAAGTGGTTAATTACTTAAAGAATAATTTTAAAATTTGTAATATTGAATTGGAAGTTTTCAAATATAACAAATGCCATGATATCAAATACCAGTATTATTAATTTTTCAAGAAGAAATTATCTAAACATGCTAATTGTGAGATTGTGAGAAATTTTAATCGGAATTTGGTGATGGCGAATTCACCTTCTTCCTCGTCAGGTTTCCGACACCAGTTAATCATATTTAGATATGCGGATTAACACGCGTTTGGAGATAATACGGATTTGATTCAGATAACAAATAAGAGACATTTCTTTAACAAATAATAAAAGATTTAATAAAATAAAAGTAAATAAAATTACACAAATGGAATTATTCAAAAATAAAATTAAGTGAATGAGAGACAATGGATTAATTAAATATATACTTCGAGAGAGAGAGCTCACAATTCATTTATAATCACACTACCTCAAAGTTTACTTTGTCTTTATGTTTATCTGTATTCGATGATCCTACTTTGTTGCATGGAGAGGTCTTGATTTGGCACAATAATAAAAGTTTCTTCTTTTCTCCTAAATTAACTCATTATTATACTCGATTGGATATGACTAAGGACTTTGTGGAGCAAATATGGACTACGTCGGTCTTCTCTGAGATCCTTTTCATACTCCTAACTAAGGGCGTTGGCCTTAGGGAGCAAATATGGGATACCTCCTTTCCCTTTGAGATCTTTCGACGTACTCCTCGAATCATGCAGATCTTTGACTATATCTCATGATTTATGACCAATCAGCTTATTTGTCTTCACTCACATGAACGGATGAAAAGGGGAATTATTGAGGGGTCGACAATTCCCAGTGTGGTGAGATTTGTGATAGATAAGTGGAAAACAAAAGGATATGTCTACTTCTGTTAAAGGAAGTGGCTCTTTTATCAGTTTTCCCACGTTAGAAAAACGATATTTTCACACCAAAATGAAATAATATTTTACTTTATAATTTTAACGTTATATTTAAATTGTTAATTAGACCCAGGGACTATTCGGATCTCACACTAATATTATAAATTGAATTACATACAATTAATTAATTAATTAGTTAAATGTTAAACTCAGAAAATTTCTTAGGTAAAATCTATAANAATGGATGTAGTAGAATCATGGTATTTGATCAATGAATATTCTAGTAATAAAGTAAGTGTTACTGATTTTGTTTTTTCTTGATATAAATCAGGCACATAATAAAATTGGTTTTGTGTATGTTTCAGTATACAGATCAGTTTGTTCTTGCACCCTTTTCTCGACCAAGAGAAACGGGTCCGACAAGTATCCTAGGTGTTAAATTAACCAAGATTAATGAACAGATATTGAGACGCCATGACCTGGAATTATTTTCACATTTAGAAACTCTGGAAATAACTCCTCAAATTTATGGCATGTAAGTTTATATTATTTTTTATTTGACTATTGAATTGTCATTAGGTTAACTTGTTTTCGATGATTTAATATATTAAAAAAAAAAAAAAATTATTTACATGCAATGTACGTAATTTTATCTGTAATACGATATATTTATATTTATGATGAAATATTTTACAAATTTCACTTAGTATAGTTTGCTTGTCTCTATTTAACAAAGACCCATATTAAAGAAGTGAGGAATGAGTTTATATTATTATTAAATTATTTTAATATAAATAAAGACGAGTGATGAAAATATAATAAATCTTAGGTGCATTATTGAAAATGAAATATTGAATTACATTATTTAAAAAGTGATTTTTGAAATTCATTTTGAATATACTTACGTCCATACTTACAAAATATTTAAATAATAAGCTCATTAACTTAACGTAGGTTAGATTTTTTTCTTTGGGACGTGTTGCTGTTTTCTCTTAGATTTCAACTTTGAACATGAATTTTTTAGAAATAATCGTTAAATAATAATGAACATAAAGAATAAACATGTTCTTTTTAGACGATGGCTTCGTCTGTTGTTTGGACGAGAATTTCCCATGCAGGATCTCCTACAAATCTGGGATTCCATATTTGCCGACAGTTTGTCGTTTGACTTAGTAGATTATGTTTTTACAACTATGTTAATGAGTATAAGAGAATTATGTAAGTAAATATGATAAATTTGAATAAAGTATTAAAGTATTACAATTAATACCAGATTATATTTTTATTTTCAGTGTTAACAGGAGATTACACTACCTGTTTGAAACATTTGATGAAGTATCCATCTATATCAGATGTCAATTATGTCATTGAATTAGCACTTCATCTGAGAGATCCTGTGGTAAATAAGAAAGATATATCTAGCAACATAATTAGTATAATTTGCAATTTTTGAAAGTTGAATGTATGAAATGCTGTATAGCTGTAGTGCAAGCTATAAGTTGTTTTAATGTAGAATGTGCCTTCTTGAAAACACGTGATTGATGTTAATATTTTTGATTTTTCTGTTTTTAATTTAATTTTTTACTATGTACAGTACATGTAATGGATTTCAGCATCATATCAGTTTTTTAAAATAGAAATTTTGACAAAGTTTACATGTAAATAAGCAGATTTATTTATATATTTAATTCAGGAGCAAAAAACTTTAATAAATGTTTTTGGTCAATTATATGGCCATCTTCAGCATATTGAACAGAATAGAATGGTGTGAAACATAATTAATTTCCTTGTTTTAGAAATATAAATCTATTAATTTTGAACTTATATAACTTTGATTGTTGTATATTTTAAAATATACTTAATTTTATGTTTAGTTACAGAAAGCTGAAAATACTGTTTGGATTTGATAATGAATAGATATGCATGTTTAAAATGGGAATATGCCTGTATATTAAACAATATTCCTGAATTAATTGAGTAAATCAGTTATATCAATGATACATTTTTAATCATAAACATGATAATGTTGTATAGAATTAAATCAAATTATTCAATATCAAAAATATAGAAATGTGTAGATTATAAAAGCATTTTTGTTTTAAATAGCAAAACTTCATCAGTTTTAGAAGGGTAAAATGCTTTTATAATAATTTTAATTTTATTTGTTGATTTAGTGAACGTCTCTTCAATCCGAAAAAAATCTTTCCGGTATTGGCTGTGAGGTAGTCCACCGGAAAGATTTTTTCGGATTGAAGAGACGTTCACTAAATCAACATGTAAAACAGCTAAACCATCGGAAAATTTTATTTTATTGTTTTCACATATTTAATATTTTCAATGCTGTGTTGTTATAAACAGTTTGAAGCTGGAGTTTTAATTTAGTAACTCTGTTATTTTCAACTTTTGATTGCTTTTATTTGATTAGAAATATTCTCGACCTGTTGGAAATTCATTAAAAGTTACAACTGCACTTTCTGGAAATCGCAACAGTTTACACAATACACTTCCAAAAAGTTACAGGTATTACTGTATTACTGTATTACAATTTAAATATCTATTGTGGTCTTTTCAGTTAGATTTGTCATAAAGGAAGTTTCTTTATTCTAGTTCCAAAAATTCCAACAAACATGGTGGAAGTTCCTTCTCTTCCATCATTCGTCGAAGTGGTGGAAGACCAAAAACCCTGGCACTACCAATAGGTACAGAGAAAGCCATTCAAGGAAAGTCTTCTAGTGAGCCTGCCACATTAGAATCAACTTCACCTAGTTCTGATAGCGGTAACATTAATTATTTTACATTTATAATTAGTGATTTTAATTTATCCGTTAATAGTATCTTTGATTAAATTTTCAGAAGTTTCGGGTGTTTCAACTGTCGACAAAAATAGAGAAAAATATCAAAAACATTTTAGACAGACCAGTGATAGCATAATGCATTCCTCACGTCATTCTGGAAGCAACACTTCCTACACTCTTCCTAGGAAATACAAAATAGGAAAGGAGCAACCTAATTTAAGTCAGAGTTTGACTCACTTGGATAAAGACAAAAATTATAATTCAGAAAATTCCACGAAAGAGATGGTGACATTATCGACTCAACATTCCAATCATTACGGCATGTATAGGCAAAGCAGTAAAGTAAGTTTTCAATGTTTTATTTTGACGACAAATAGAAATTCAAAAGGTTGACATATTAAATATTTATTACATATTGGTAAATTCTATTTTAGGAAAGAGACGAAATGAAGCAACTGAAAATGGAACTGTCTGAACTGAAATCCATGAGCCAGTATTGTTGTCATAGAATGACCCAACATTTAGATAGACTTCAGTTCTGTATGATCCATCAAGAGCTTCAACACGAAGATGAGATGTTGCTAGCTCTAGCAGGATTAAAACGGGTACGTTAGCTTCGTTTCTTACAAATTATTCTAAATAGTTAGTCGGCGGCAGTGATCAATGTGTAATAATTGCAAATTTCAGGTTAGAGATATCTTGAAGGGTACGGTGAATTTTACAGAAGAAGTAGGCGACGACGAATATCTGCACGACACAAATCCAGATAAACTAAAATCAAGTCAGATTGGAATGGTGAAGAAAAGTGATGTCGAAGGTTCTACTCTTCCTCAAGTAAATAAAGAAGGCAACAAGCAAAATGGAGAAAAAAAATGTGACGATCAAGACAGATCGGTGAACGGAGAAGATCGGCGGAACGAGAAAGAAGACCTGATCGCAACAACCAGAAGAGAATTTCAGAAACTCTTGAACTCTTCGAAATCATACATTAATGATAACACAAACAGGAAGTAGTAGTATAGATATTTATTATTATTAAGGAAATATTATTGTACAAAGGGCTAACAAGTTTTAAGGGCAACTTAGCAACAAGTTATTGTATAAAATGTGTAGAATTACACCTTGTAAACATTCCATTTATTTAATTTGTAAATTATTTTGAATTTTTGTATATATATATACATACATATAGGCAAATATATATACATTCAAATCTTACATAATTGAAAAAATTGATGATAGTGTAAATAATTTTTTTCCCTCACAAAAGACAGATCATAACTTTTTCAACAAAATGTTGCTATATTTAAATAGGAAAAAAAGGAGGATTATTAAAAATATTCTGTAATTGGTACACCCCTAAATAGTGAAAACATTAAAGTAATTTAAGTATTTGATGCTATCATATTTTAAAAATATTTTGACATTGAAGTCATCTCGAATTTTGTTTTGATTGAAAAATAAACTTTATAATAAAAGAAAATAATCAATAGTTTATTCAGTTGGCATTAATTAGGCATACATCAGCATTGACTTTCACATGAACACTGGAGTTATCACTGCCTCAACAGTAATGGTGCCTCTGAAAAGGGGTGTCACAAGTGTAAACAAGTTCGGCAAATGAACGTGTTTACAATAAATGAGTGGTACAATTAAAGTTGTATGTTCAATTTCCATTTGGTAATTTCCAGCTATTGGAATTGGTTAACTTCTAACTTTAATTCTTAGATTTAATTGTTCTTCTCTTTTTCCTTAAAATAGAGCAATTTGCTGATCTGAAAGTTTCATCTTAGATTTAATTTGTAAATGTTAACAACTTTTTCTCACCATCTTTTGGTTCTGGAATGACAATTGGCATTTATCTGATAGATGTAGAAATTCCATTTTTTTTAATACAATTGTATCTAAACGATTAAGTCTTTCTCTAGCAGAAAACCGAGCCCACTAGAAATTTTCATCCTTTAGAATATTGATAAATCTACATTTTTCACTGTCTACATCCATTTAATTTTTCAAATGGATACTTGCCTCTTGTGAACATTTTTAAGGATGTAAGATTGAAGAATCTGCTATGTCATTTTGGCTTAATTTTTTATTACAGTGAAAGGGATTATAAAAACAAATATTTAATCATTCGTATTTCAGACAATAAAAATGCTTATTGAAATACAACATGTACAGAGCATTTCAGAAGATCTTAAAATAACCCTCTTAGTGCCCACAGTGTGGAAACAGTTAAAAAAAAACATCTCAAACCAATCAAGGCAGCAAGGCCCACCGACTCCCAATTCATATTTACATTGCTTGCGCCTGACTAAGCTTTCCATCAAATCGTCTGCAATACGTGAAATTTCTTTGTGATTGGATTCAACATTTAACGAGGATAAAAATAAATTACACATAAACCTTTATTAGGCCTATGTGAGTTAGGTTACGATATCAAAATTTTAGAAATTAATTTGTACCACAAGTACAGTCCTATCCAAGAAGCATAATCGTCCAAACCATATGATACCAGGAAACACTACGGATCCTAATTTTTCTTAGCCATCCCCTCGTTAACAGTTTAAAATATTTCACTATTTTATAGCACGTTTGCTGGTACATAAATCACAAGAATTATTCTTATGAAATGAAGTAGTACACAAAAGCACTTGCTGTGTGGCATTGTTCGGATTCACGCAAAATGACAAAATACTATTTCGCAGTATAAATATTAATGTGCATTATCATGTTAACACGAAGTTTGGCCTATTCTTATCACATTCTGTTTTCGTATAATTTAATTAATTTGTTTTGCACTTCACTTTTATAACGAAATCCTTCTGAGTTTAACGACGATTTATTTTTCAGCATTAAATCCACAAAGAAGTCGGACATTTTCAGAAATCTATGGGTGTAATTTTTAACTGCTGAATTATCCTACACAGATGTCCTGTTTTCAGGTCTTATCTGTTAAATGCTAACAAAGAAACTTACGACATCCATTTTTATGGCCTTTGGGGAGATTTTACACATCTCTGACTACCAATATCCTTAGGCATCATTTCTTGAAAAGTAATTAAAAGTAATATTCGGATACTATCGATTATGCGATTTGCAATCGGTTGCTAACCTATGTAAAATGGGTGTCAAATAGAAGGATTAGAAGTAGGAAATAATCGAATAATCTTTACTTTTGTTGTTGTTACTTTTTACCTGGGCCGGGCTCATCTGCAAGTTCTTTATGCAGTAGAGCGTCGTTTATCTAAATCAATTGGGGGACTGGGGTTGTTCGGATAACCGATTACGTACGAAAAAATGTATTAATTTATCCCATGTTGAAATTTTTCTCCGTTGCGTGTCGCTTCGCGTTGAATTTTCATCGATGTTAAGCCTAATGTAAACTTTTTAAAATAATAATCGTGGCTATTGTATCGTTAAAAATTATTTCTTTATTTTTTACAAACAAAATAAAAATATTAAAAAAAAAATTATACTTTAGAAGTTAATCTAGTATAAAAAACGTTTGATTCAGCGCAACACACAGTCCTCAGAAAAACACCACACAAAAGTGCCAGTGCTGCCAGCTAAAAGACACACACCAACAACAAAAATATTGGAATAGCCCAAGATATAGCCAAAGATTGCAGCGCCACAGCACTAGCGAAAATTTAAATTTATATTTTAATATTGTAATTTAATTTTTCTTAATTCGTTCTGCTTATCATACAATCAAAACGTGGGGAAGCCATTAGTAACTAATTAAGTTTTATTTATAACGAATAAAAGTATGAAATTGAAAGAAAACATTTGTGTATATTTAAAATAAAAATAAAAGGAATGAAAGAACAGAATTTATCCTTTCAAAATATTTTTTGACTATCTTAAGTAACGATTCAAGTCTTGGGCATTATTGGCCACTGCACATCATCGAAAAATTTATGTTTTTTGATTTTTCTTTCACTAAGACGTTCTTCGGGATTCTGAAATGGTCAACAACAATAATAATTATACTTGTTCAAACTTGCTGATTCAATTACCATACTTTCGTCTTTGTAAACAATATGTGGGAACATGCAATGAGGCGTGATACGTCGATGACTTTTTCAATTTCTTATCAATGATTAAAATGTAATTAACTCAGTGAAAACCGGAATTCAACGTTCGATTAATCGTAATGAATTAATCATGAAGTGATTCGGTAAAAAATGATTTAAAAATCAACGATTGCGTTTCACATTAATTATAATAATGTTAGATTTTATGAATCAAAACGTGTAATATATCAAAACATTCAAAAATCAAATTACTCGTGTAATGTATAGTAATCAGAAAATTACATAGAATGCATCATAAACTTACTTTCTGTAATAAATCCTGGATTATTTGTTTGGCATCCTCCGATAGTTCAAAAGGATACGTCAACTCCACTTCTTCAACAACTGCAATGGCATTTTTACATTAATCATTGTTTTCTTTGTTACTGTACAAATTCTAAATTGATAATAGCTTACTTTTGATTTGTTCCGTTATCGGCAATGTCTGGAAATCTTCCAAGGTCATAAGTGTTTCCAGATAAACGTCCATTGGAGTTTTTCCAACCAAAATCTGGTATAACACAACTCCAAACGCCCACCAATCGCAGTAAGCGTCTGTAAACCATACATTGATTTCACCAATCAAAGAAAGAAATAAAAAATCCATTAAATGTAAATAACATTTCTTACCGTATTCCTTCTCTTGAAGAATTTCTGGGCATAAATAGAACAGAGTGCCGCAGAACTCTCTTGGACGGCGTTGGAACTAAAAACAATAAGATCATAAGAAAAGCACAGTTGAAGAAAATAAGAGGCGTACAGTACTTACTGTGCACAGACCAAAGTCAATCAAATATGCTTCATTCTTCTTATCTATTAAGATGTTGTTTGAGCTTATATCTCTGTGAATAATTCCTATGGGAAACAGTAAAAGAATTTGTTACACTGTGTATACGTAAGAAAATTTATATGTATGAATATATTTAGATAAAGCACCTTTATCGTGAATATAAATGACGGCCGAAGCAAGTTGTGCACCCATCGTCTTAGCTTGGGTTTCCGATAATACTCCATTTATTTCCAAGAAGTCGGTCAAATTCTCTCCGTTCACGTAATCACAGACGAAACAGTGACTGAAAAACACGAATAGTTTATTACCCGAAACACGTAAGATATTACAAATCAGTAATATTAAAAAAACGTATAGCTTACTTAATATCAGTTTCGAAGGAACCAATAAAACTGACAATGTGAGGATGACTGGATACACGGCGCCAAGCAGTTCTTTCTCTGTCAATTTTTAATTGCTGTAAATAAAAAAGTATAATTAATATATACGAAATATTAAACTAATATATTCTGTATTAGTTGTTTATAAAATATTTTTGAAAAGTATTAACAACAATATTATTATATAAATGAACTGTGTTTTTTCAGTCAGGTGTACACACTTCAAAGATAAAGTATATTGTTGGATTCTACCAACCTCGTTACAGACATTGTATCGTTTTTTGATAGAAAACAAGGCTCAATGCATACCTGTTTTACACAAAACCGCTGTTTCTTGATGGCTTTGACAGCGATTGCTTTGTCGGAACTTTTAGACCGAACCACATACACTGTGCCAAAAGATCCTTCACCAATTTTTTGGAATTTGTACTTGTCTTTCATATTGTTTAGACGTTCGAGTCCAGATTGAAAATCCTCCGATTCGCACTTCTACGATTATAAAATATTTTAGTTGCAAAGTTTGTTAATTGAAAAACAAAAAAAGCAAAGAAACTCGAGTGTTACCGGTGAATCGGAAATTTCTCCTTTTACGCAACAACGGCGAAACAATTTACAAAATATACTTTTGAAAAACTGTTTAAATCTTCTAATTTTCTTGGGTTTATTCACCTGCAATGGCGAATCTCTTTTGTAAAAGGAAAAATACTTATTGACAGGCAAATCACAGAAATCCTCCGGAAAGTTAAAATAATAATATTTGTTACTCTTATTGCATATTTCAAAATCGAGTAAAAACCTATTAATTCAGTTTTAATCAAAAAATTAATTTATAAGTTGTTTAATGAGATTTAATACCGTTTGGTTCAGCGCCATCACTTCTATCATAACTAAATTGATAAAATTTTAAATAAATATCAAAGAAATGTCGTTGGCAAACATTGCTTTTGCGGTGTTCGGGGGCCGTAAAGATTTATTACGTACCTTTTTGCGTAGAGTCCTGGCACTAGGTGTATTTTATCGGACACACCGCCGTTTGAGATGAAATGGATGATTAAGGCGCGAGGGTAAGTGTCACTCCGAAGTCCAGGAATGAGCCTTTCAGGAGGAAGAATGCAGAGTCAGATATAACCAATTTAAGGACATTTATTAACAAACGAAAGTTTAGAACAGAATTATAAAAGCCGAGTTTGAAAATTTGCCTATTTTTATCTATATAACGAAGGGGTGCCTAATGGGGGATATTCGAACTTACGGACTCACAACATACTAGGTAAACAAGATGTCTTCCCTTGTGACGTGGATCTGACGGCCAAGACTGCGGAGGTTTCTGGTGTTCGCTGCACTTGGTCTTGTGCTTGCTCGTTTTTTTGAATCGTCCTCTCTTGAACTACTCTTGCTCTGGTGCTCGTCTGGTTTCACTCTCTGGATCTCTGTCTGTCTGATTGTGACTGCGACTCCAACTCGTTCTGCAACAACTCTTTCTGTGACAACATCTGCAACTCAACTGCCTTTCTCTGGCTGGAGCTGTGTCCCCAACTGCTGACTATCTCACTGTCTCTTTCTAACTGACTTTTTCTGACTGGACTGTGTCCCCATCTGTAACTGAACTTTCTCTGGTTTGAGCTCTCCTTTTAAACCTTTCTAGCATGAGAAAGTTTATCATCGGGTGATGATTCATTGGCACTGTCATCATCGTAGCTGAGGCAGTGTTTTCTTATTTGGTGATGACGTCGAGCTTTTGTAGAATCATCTCTGTGTTGACATGACTCATCTTTGCTCTTAGTCATTGTTTGTTGATTGCTTTGACAGTTCTTCATTTAATATGTAAACATTGCCGAAAACAAAAGGGATGCAATGTTCGTTTCAACAATTCAAACAATTGGAAATTGTTACATCTAGAACAATTTTGAAAAATGACATTAAAATTAATGTTTATGCTTCTAACACAATAAAGTGCTATAAATTAAGACACTTGGCGGGTTTTCTCATCTTTATTTAGTTGATACGTGTGAAAAAATTACACGTTTCGGGCTTTTAAGCCCCTCTTCAGCCAACTAAAACATTAAAAAAGGTTATAACATACATATAAAAAATACACAAGTTTTGTAGAATTCATAAAAATATAAAAAACATACCTATGCATACAAGTTTTTTAAAAATTGAAGTAACAGATTACTTTCGATATTTTCCAGTAACATCAGCTTATTCACAATATTCTTTCCTTCAGCCAACTATAATATTAGGGGATTATACGATATATATAAAACTATACATCAGTTTTTTTAGAATCTACAAAACTATCTTCGACTAAGGCATACCTTGAGTACGGCTGTTATTAAAGTTGTACACAATTGATTATACCTTTCACTTATAAAACAGTTCTACAAAATCCTTGATCTAAAACATACTTTTGACAACAATTATCAAATTGGTATACAATTGATTATGCTTTCCACTCATAAATCTGTTTTACGAAATCCTTATTTCCTTTGATACGCATTGACAATATAATACGAATTTACATAACTTCCATAACATAAATTTACATATCTAACATTTACTATATTTTTTTTTACAATGTATAATTGTTGATTTATTTAACATTTCAATATTTAATATTATAGATTATTTTATTTCTGCTTGTTTAGGATCTATTCTTATTGTTTTATCTGTTTTTTTTTATTTCTGTTTCCCAAATGTTAAGGATTCTGTTTGGGTATCCTGAAAGAATAAATTTTTTCTTTAGTGTATTTAAATATTCGATTTGTTTAGTATTTATACTAGTTCTATTTTTGATTTTAGTGTATTCCATATTAAATATGTTTTGTTATATATGAAGTGGTATGTTAGAATTATAGTTAACTGTGGTATTTATTGAGCACTGCTTTTTAAACGGTTCAAATTCGAGATTTGTATTATTTCTTTTAATTGTAATATCTAAATAATTTATGCTGTTGGTAATTTTATCTTCTTCTTCTATTTTAAATTGAATATTTTTATGAATATTATTTATTATATTTCTGATTTCATTAGTGTTGGTCTCAACCTCATCATATATTATTAAGACGTCGTCTACGTATCTTCTGTAGAACTTTATACCATATATATCACTTATTTCTTTGTCTATATCTATCATTATGATCTCGGCTAGTTTCGGTCCTATTACGGACCCCATACTAATTCCACTATTCTGTGTGTAATATTTAAATGATCTGTTAATAAAAATATCCCGAAAGAAATCTATTTACTTTATTATAGACGTGTCTGTTTAATGTCATCACTTTTAAATGCGATATCAAAACTAAAAACGTTCTAGTTTTTAGTTTTTATACCTTATATGATACCATGAAAGATAATTTTGAAAGGGGTGTATGAAAGTCTTGTTCTTATAAACTAGAAATATGAAGAATTTTACAGAGAAAATGTTATGGGTTGATGTATGATTCATTTGTAGTTATATTATAACTGTAAGTGATGCATTTATTTGTTTTTCCAATTAAAATATTACGAAATTTTAAGAGCACGTCGAATATATTGTGAAGACTTTAAAATAATCTGAAATTGTATAAATTATATTTATGAAGATAGTAAAAATTTATCTTACACTTAACAAAATTGTAATAGCTATGATCATTGTATAAAGCTTACTGTTAAGTACTCGGAATAAAATCGAGTAGAAGCAAATCGACCCAACCGTAATGCCCACCCCGTATAAGAAGTGAAGGATTTCACGATTCTTTAACACTGAGGAAGAATTATCTTCCACGTGTTCATCAGGAAATCCTCAAAGAAATCAGTGACAATGCTACATGGTTTGCTGTAGATGAAACTATAGACTCATGCGGACGATATGTTGCTTTAACGGTACTACTAAAACTTGACGGAAAAGACTGCGCTAAAATTTATCATCTTTTATGTAAATTTCTGCAGAAGACAAATGCACAGGCTATAGCAAGAATTGTTCAAGAAGGTTTAATGTTGTTGTATAATTAATGTTATGTCACGCTTACTGACGGCACGGACTTCTGTAAGCACGATGAGAACTTTTTATATAATCTTATTCACGTAACCTGCCTGAATTACGCTTTGTATCTTCTGGTGGAACAAGTTCATTTACATTTTAATGATGTAAAAGTCCTCATTTGTTCCGGGAAGAAACTACTTGTCAAACTACGGCTTGCCAAAGACACCAATGCAGTTCGCATTGGTGTCTTTGGCAACGAAAATGCGATCTTTTCGTTCCGATTTCGGATCCGAAATTCCACTTTTATTGATCCAGAAAATAGTGACTACTCCATTCACAAATGCAGTCAAGGAGCTTTATAAAAATTTTCCCACTGATAGCTCTTTCTCTGCGAGTGATACGGCTTCAGAAAGACTAATCATCGACGAAACTGGAGGAAAAAATTAGTATATAAGGAGCAACTGTCAACTTTAACAAAAATGGGCTTTAGAGTTGTAGCGGGAAGACCCGGAATAAAAGGTAAGAGGACAGATGACGAAACGTAGTTCTCCTGCCTAAATTGTGAGCGATAGACTCTTCCACTAATTCTATGCTCTTGTAAAGTAGTTCTAGACTTAAATAATAACAGTTTATTTGTATAATGTTTAAATGCGTAGTGGAGTGTGTTATTTTTGATCGCTCGACTCCCCACACAGATTTTGGTAAAATCTGTGTCCCAAGCAGCTACGATGTGGTGATGTATTCGTGATAATATAAAATACTGAAAAATGGAAGTGATACCTAATTAAGAGATAGCAATGTAATACAGTCGACCCCCTATAACACTGTTGATAATTCCGTTTTATATGAATTCCATGTTGTACGAGTCACTTAGATTTTACAAAAAACGTGTGCCGGGCTGTGAACGGCTCACGTATTTGTAAAATCTAAGTGACTCGTACAACATGGAATTCATATAACAGAAGAAAACTTTTGTCTGTATACAAAATATTTTAAAATATAATAAGTTAATACAATACAAAGACATGTTTATAATATACGCTACATCAACGGTGGGCAACCCCCGGCCCGCGGGCCAGCTACGGCCCGCGAAGAGTTTCTATCCGGCCCGCGAGATGTTTAGAAGAAATTATAAATAAATATTTTTCGAAGTAATTCGTCTAATTTAAATTGAATATTATTTTCTGAAGTGTTGCGGCAGCAATGACAGGAAAAAATAAGGGAGTCATTTCTTTATTCAAACAAAAAATGGGAGAACAGAATTTTTCTAAATTATATTTCATCGCATCATCCATCAAGAAAATCTATGTGCAAAAGCTATGCAATTAGAAAATGTAATGTTTGTCGTATCCAACTACATAGTGCTGTTTTTATTGTGTTTAAAGTCACTTAAATTTTACAAATAGATGAGCCGTTCACAGCCCGGCACACGCATTTGTAAAATCTAAGTGACTCATACAACATGGAATTCATATAAAACGGAATAATCAACAGTGTTATAGGGGGGTCGACTGTAGTAATTAATTTCTTTTTATTTATTTATTTATTTATTTCATATTTGCAGACTAAAAATTTACAGGTCACAAGGTGTCAATTAACTACTATGGCCCGCGGAAAAAACGTAAAATTTATTCTGGCCCATGTTATAAAAAAGGTTGCCCACCCTTGCGCTACATTATTATACTTTGTATTAAAATTTATATAAATTATGCAAAGAGTTATACGGTGAACATGTTAATAATTTTTAAGGCTAAAATGAAATATTTTAACGTCATATACTGGGGTGCATATACTTTTCGTTTCAGATGGATCGATCTCTAAGATCAAATCAGTCTTTGTTACGTGATACAGATCACTTCTGTCAGCAAAAAGTACACAAGATCAAATCGTATATTCTCTGCGATCACTCTGGAAATCGCCTAAAATGTTAAGAAAAGACAGAAAAATAGCAAAATAAAACGTTTTATTATTTATTATCTTTTAAATAAATAATACAGGAAAAGAGTCAACATTGCATGCTAGCAATTTTATTTTCTCGAATTATCAATACATACACATTCCATTGTTTAAATTCATAAAAATCACGCCATTGATTTCAATATCGTGGTTTTTTTAAATCTAAATCTTCTAGCATATTTTCTATTAATTATCACAGGATACTTTTATTATTACTTGATTACATTTATAGTAGTTACAGGCCTAATTTACGACATTCATACTTCGTTTCTGATTGAGAAATCATTTGGTTTGAAGTGTCTCCTAAGAAATCATCAAGAAGGTTTAAAACGACCGTTGTTAATCCTCCAATATTCTTACCAAATACGATACAATTGTAGCCTTCTTCTCCGGAAGAAAGAGCTTCAACGTATTCTCCGATGCAATAAAGAGTTTCTTGAAGACGTGTGCCGATATAATTAAAACAGCTGAGTTTAGAAGTTTCTTTTACGATGCAACCCAAATAATACGTAATATTAGCGACAAGCGGGCAGAGATTTTCAAGAAGTGTCAATTGAATATCTAGATCCTTACCACCACACGTGGTGCATTCGTCCTCACGACCATTAATTCCAAATAGTAACGCATTAATATTAAAATAAACAGAACTAATGTTGAAACCATTGAGTAAAAGTCCCCTAAAGCATTTGTCCATATTAGACTGAAGCTGCAGAAAAAAATAAATAAATAAATTCAATTTGGTATATTGTAACATTACTCTTATATGAATTTATGCTTAATAATTAACGTAATTGATAGTTTCTATTAGCATTTACAACTTTTTATAAAATCCACCCTTACTCTGAATATTAAGCTTTTTCCGATTTTACAATAATTAAAACTTTTTTTTTACCATGACGGATGGCTCCATACACTTTTTCTCTGTTATTTTTACTTTCTCGGCTCTGTTATGTATAAGAAAAAATATATTAAACTAACCTGGTTTAAGGTACAGTTAATAAATTTAGCTAGATTAAAGTCCTTCAGAAGATTTTCCAATAATCCATCATAAGTCACCATACTTCCACCCGGCATATTAACTGGAATGCCTCCAAGTATTTCTGACACTACGTCAATTATACCGTTAGTCATCTCGTCACCCTGCAACAGTCGTTTTGAATCCTTTCCGAGTACTTGTTCGTTCATCAGATTTCCTCCACTTCTCACGAAATCACCAGACTTTTGCTGGTTTTCTTCAATTTTTCTTCCATATTTCTTTATTTCTTTCTCCAATTCGTGAGTATTTTCTACACTTTCAATACCTGAAATAAAAAGTATATAAATAAATTATGATTAATGAAAATTATTTATGTATTTGGCATATAATTAATTAAAAATTAAACACATAAATTATCATTGTATAAATTTGTGTGTTACAGAAACACTCAAGTTACCAATAAGGACAACTATAAACAGGACTGTTTTCATACTGCTTTCAGTTCGGTGTTTGCCGAAATATGTTTTAATGGCAAATTTCGTGGTGTTTTTATAGTTAAACAATGCATTAGAATTAGTCAGTGGTGCGCCGTTTCTCCTCCTACCTGTCATTCCAACATTTCGAAATTGCAGATGGTGTGTTGAGTTTCGAAACCAATCAAATTACTAATTGCCTCCACAATAAAAATGTAAAATAAGGTAGAGAGTTTTCTAGTGTTCTTGTCACTGTTATATTATTACATTTAAATAAAAGCAAGATTTTACCTTTGTAAAAAGTCGTATTTAAATTTTTGTGTATTTATTAATCGTAAATAATCGCAGGCCATGTTCTTTTACTATATACTTTTTTAGCTATTAAATAGCTTCTTTTTCTGTATAAATAGCAATTAAATACTATGATAGTATATTATTAGCAGGGAAAAAACTAACACTTATATATATATATATTTGAATCGTTAATAAACATAATCACGTTTATCGAAGTAGATGTAAGTCGAGACGTAGAAACAGATATTAACAATGAGTAATTATAGATGTTTGTTTAATGGTTACAAGTAAAAAATTCGAAATAAAGTAATTTAAAATTAAATTAACGTTTAACTTGTTTAATTTGTTTAATATATGCTCTCCATCTCAAATTAGTAGTGGCTTGCCCCTGTAAATCATACTTCTCCTTTAACAAAGGAGTCGTGCAGGTCATCTATCTTACGTCTTTCTGGAGAAAGATTTGAATTGAAATAACATAAACTTCGGTTTTTAACGTGAGATCATATACAGTTAATCTGGGCCTCCTGCCCCTACTGGTTCCAAATATACTCTCGAATTTTAGCTACTTAACTTCATTCTCGAGATTTAGAAAAGACAGGCAAAAAGACGAATGACAGTGGGCACTTATATGTCTACAATTTTTTAAAATTGCTGCCAAAAATTGCATTTATTCGAATATTTAAAACACGAGAAATTTTATCGAACCGAACTAAATTTGCGCAATTAGAAAATTTATAAAAGCAGTTGTTAATAAACACCTGTTGTTTCGACATTCTGAAAATGTTGAGACAGAGTAAAATGCAAAATTTGTTCAGAAAATTAAGTATATTTAATAATTGAAAGTTTATATTAAGAAAGTTTTTCTTCTTTAACTACTTTATCTACATCTTCAAGTGCAGTCGGATGAAGTAATTAATTCCAAATATATTTCTATCCGGTAGATCATTAATTCGTTCTATTTGTAAAAAAACAGCGTATTTACTCAATTAATTATCAAATTTCCATTAAATTAAGTAAAAATAAATGCACTAACATCAAGAGAACTTATTGAATTGTGACGTGATGAAACACCGCAGTCTCTTGATCTGTATTATATAAGACACGTTAATAACATAATTTCCATTTACATATTTAAATTCTAATCTCATTTTTCATTTAATTCCATTTATTTTGAATATATTTTAAATTAAATATATTTTTAAATAATATATTGTTTTTTTTTATTTGTGTTTTAGCTAGATTTAATTTCCAATTTCTGACATTTATATCCTTCTTAATTGTATACAGTGTCATACTTCCATTTAGCGCTTGTATTAGTTCGCTTCCTAAACTGGCACTAACCGAAGCGCTTCAAACAACAGAACATATATACTATAATAACGGAGTAAGAGTGTCAAGAACATGGTTGCAACAATGTATAGAACCTCACCATAAAGTCCACATTTTCTTTGTTCCTATATACACATTATATCAATAGGCCTATATGTAGATTTTATAAATCAGGCCCCAAAGGCCAGAGCCGGTTGCACTGCATTGCCTGCATCCCAGCTAGATCTGCCACTGATAAGGTCTATACACGAATTANAATGACCAACGAATTAATCAACTGTTATATAAAGCTATGGAATAGTCAATAATCCAGGATAATGAAGATATACGAAAAAGAAATTACAGTATAATGTTATTTTTAATTACCCATATATTAATAATTACATGTTTCTAAATCTCCCATTTAAGGTTAAAAAATTTTTCATTCAATTACGACTTAATCAAAAAGGTCTAAATATTGAAAATAAATATATAGATTATGATCAATCTGGATGTTCTAAATGTGGTAAAAAAATTGTCAAAATTTCATTTAATTTATGGATGTAACGAGAAAAACAAACAGAATATAAATACTAGTGAGAATTATGAATATAATCAAGAGATGGAAATTATTATGTATAGTAAATTGGACAAAATGAATACCAATGACATTTACAATTTATATAATATGTTAAAAACAATATCTTTGAGTAATAAGGGTACTGTTAATTAGCCTTATTCAATCATTAAATTAAATAGACATTTAATGCTAAAATTCATCGAAAAGTTGATTTATGTAAAGCTAAGAAATTGTAAAAACATCCCCCTTGTAACAGGCTACTGCCTTTTATGTTAATAAACATTTGAATTGAATTGAATTAAATATTTGGACCCCAACA